AAGATTCCCTAAACATGCTAACCATATTCAACACAAAAGTGATATACACCGATTTCATAGTGACTAATGTTGCCTCAGAGAGAACTCTGACATTCACAAATTCAGCAAAATTTGATAATTATTATTTTATTTGAACAATTTAAAATATTTGTATTAATAGTATTGCAAACAATAGTAGATTTCTATATGATATATGAATTTATATATATAATTGTATCACATGTAAAAAGATGCACACATTAAATGTGTTGTTGCTCACAACATATTTATACACTGTATCTTACAACATTCTTATTTTCTTTCTGCTGGACATATGCATATATATGTTGTTCTGAAAGAGTGATTACAGAAATTTGGGTTAGTTTATGGTATTTGCTTCCTACATTAATTAAATGATTGATTTTACAACATAATTTATTTTTTAGAAAGAGCTATGATCAGTTTCGCCATGTTGAGTAATTGCATGCTTATAGGCACAGACACAGTTTAAACTTAAGAACGTTACTGTCTTTTCATATTTTTCTATTAGACTTATAACAAGCTTTATTTTCTTTTCCATACAGATTGAAATCTGACCTTCCCTCTCCCCAAGTGCAATGTTCTTGACTCAGACAGTATTTGAAAATTCTGGCAATTCTCCAAATGATACGTTTAAAGAATATTTTTATTAGCATCTGATTTGTGTTTGTTGGTGACATGTCTGGCCCTCACACAACCAATAGCTTGCCAAAACATAAGTTCTGTGGGATAGCTTCAGTTTTACACTGAGTCTTTTCTGGATTCACACAATTTAATTATTTTTTTATTTTTTTGAGAATTTCTATGGCCTGCTGAATTAACAACACAATTCTGATAGAAATAAACATTCCCTACTGTCAAAAGCGAATACAAAACTTACAGCTATAGACCATAAAAATCAACTTTTTCCTTGATCAGAAACTTCTAGATGATGGGAAAAAGTGTGAAGACAATATGCAGCTTGGATTAAGAAAATGTTTTTCTGAAACAATAAAACCATTTATTCTTAAATGACAAGTCATTTCTCTATGAAAGTTGCTGCATTTTGGAATGGGCTTTTTATTTACGACATTTCCTTTTCAATTTTCTTTAACTTCAGAAAAGTCATGGATGAGCATTAACAGAGAGAGGCCTTGTGTTTCAGTCTTACCAAAGCATTTTCTTTGCACATATTGCATATTTCTAATATGTGGAACATATCAGCAAAAGCTAAGGAATTTAGAAAGAAAAATGCACATCTACCTCCCTAGGCTGTTGCCTACCTTTAAGCCACTGTTATCCACACTAGCTCTCCAAATTCATCCAAGTATCCATCAAGGCTTCATTTTAGGAACAAAGCCACAGATAGGGTTCCTTCCCAACTCCAAGCTCAAACCAGGTTTTAATAGTGGAGGAATAGACACCAGCCTGAATTTGAAGCAAAGTAGAAAAGCTCTTGGTCTACTCTGACGCTGCACCTTTTCTTACACCTGTTTTAACAGCTCTTTCAGTGGCTGGTCCCCTTAAGCTGCAAGCTGATGAAAAGAGGTTTTAGCAAGGTGGAAGTTGGCCTCTTCTCCCACGTAACAGTGACAGGATGAGAGGTAATGGCCCTAAGTTGCAACAGGGGAGGATCAGGTTGGATATTAGGAAAAATGTCTTTGAAAGAGTAGTGATGCGTTGGAGCAGGATGCCCAGGGAGGTAATGGAGTCACCATTCATGGAGATTTTCAAGAAGGTGGATGTGGTGCTGAGGGACATGGTCTGTGGGCATGGTGAGGATGGGTTGGATGATCTCAGCAGTCTTCCCCAACCTTCATGATTCTGTGATTCTGTGAGGAGAGGTTTTGGTGGCTCTCCATGCAACGCTGTGCTAGCCAGCTTCATCATGACAGGATGTATGCAAGACGGAAGGAGATTTAAGTATTTTTAAAGACCACAACAAACTGTCTCTGTGGTCAAATACTTACAGAAACTTCAAAAATACAAAATTACTTGCGGAACTGATTAATGCAATATTGCAATTTCATAGAAAAACAGATTACCTTAGAAGGGACTTTAAAAATCATCGAGTTCCAGTCCCCTGCTGTAGGCAGAGCTGCCGCCCACTGGATCAGGCTGCTCAGGGCCCCATCCCCAGCCTGGCTTGAACACCTTGAACACCCACAGTTTCTCTGGGAAGCCCATGCCAGTGCCTCACCACCCTCTGAGTAAAAACTTTCGTCCTAACATCTTCCTTCTTTTAGTTTAAAGCCATTCCCCTTTGCCCTAGCACTGTCACACTGTGCAAAAACTTTCTCTTGAATGATTACAAGGTCCTTTTAAGTACTAGAAGGTCTTAATGAGGTTTCTCCGGAGTCTTATCTTCTCAATTTGAATGACATTTTAAATGTACATCATTCGTAATGTAACCTTCTGACACTTGTGCCTCTTCTCTTTGCTTCATGGTTGTTGTTCATCAAAACACTATGTAGCATTTTAGCTCCTAAAACAGTGACTGATTTTATAATCGAGATCAAGAGAATTCACTTTGAATATATCTTTTGAACTTGTATGTCTGGGTTCACAAATACAACCAATGTAACGAGCTGAAGAAAACACACATATAAAAGTGATGTTCTGAGAACATAAAAGGAAGAAGGAAATGAAGCTCAGTGAAAATATCTGAATTTACTTCCCCTCATCTTCAGTCCTGGCTTCAGGGACTCCTTAGTAAGAACAACACCCAGCAGGATGATTGCACAAGAAAAGCTGTGTAATCCAGGAGGCATTATCATGTAGTACATTCATAAGGTTGTTCACCTGGGATAGCAGCAATGCCACAATTTTCTTGATAGGGAATTTAAATGGTGAAAGTCATTAATTGGCTGAATTTTTCTCCTGCATGTGAAAACAAATCATGGTTGCATGATTTACTTGTGTTTTTAATCAAACGTTATCTCTCGGGAGGAGACCTGACTGCTCACTGGGAATTTTCTTGCACTGCTATGCAGAAAAGCTATTCTCTTTTTCTAGAGACAGAATTTGTCTCTGTTTGAGCTCTATTAGTCACTAGCAGTGAATGCATCAGCTACCACTTCTCAGTAGGCAATAACAATGACTGTGACCACAGCGGAAATCCAGGCTCCTTACAGTCTCTTCCTTCTTTGCTTTTGTTACACAAGATTTCATATTATTCATGATGGGTGATCTTTTTTAGCTTGGGTTTCTTTACATGACTGATTTAGATGCTCTAAAGTAACAAAAAATTAATAAAACCTGACTAGACACCACCTTATTACAAAAGCATTGGTAAATAGCATAAATAAAAATTCATTTTAAAATCAAACAGGATATATATATTTTTTTCCCCAGATCTCTCTGATGTGACTAGGAAAGCAAACCAATATATTTCAGGTGAAGGAGGTAGTCCTTCTTTTCCTTACACCTCTTTAGAGCTACATGGTGCTTTGTAAATTACTTGCAACTAAAATAATCAAGAATAGCTTCACAGAAAGGCAGGTTAAATGGACCCTCTAGGACTAACAGAATTGAAGATTGACTTGGCTTAACAATGCCCCTGAAATACTTGAGCACACAGTATTCCAGGGACTCAGTTTATCCTCTTGCATTGAACTGCACAGTTTCAGGTACAATTATGGAAATAGGAAGAGATCACAGGAAGTTAATAACAGCTATTGAACCAAATACTCAGCTAGAATAATTATTTTGGCTCTGCTTTAAGCAGGCAGCTTTAGTGAGAAGCAAACCACCGAGCACTGAGAACATGCCACCCCAAATCAGAAAAGAGGAGAGAGCAATGTAAAGGGAAATAAAAGAGGCAATAAAATCACTTATTTATTGTTTGCATCCTGGCAACAAGAAATAGATAAGGTCTCTAATACCCACATTAGAAGGAGCTAGATGACATTTGTCTGCATTTTCACTTGTAAGTGAGCTCTTTCTGGGAGAATAATCACAGAAAAATGCCTATTGTACCCTTTTAGCAGACAATCCACTCAGTCCATTGCATACCAACACTGCTGCTCTTCTAGACAGAAGTCAAGAAATTCAGATTCGTCCTGATACTTACGAGAATTCACCCCCAAGACCCTTCCTGAAAGTGCCTCCAACACAGAGTGATTCTCTATGGCACTAGGGACAGAACAGCTTGCAGAACCCTGCCCTTCCTCAGAGCACAGCTGTTAACTGTTTCCTTGAGAGCATCTTCTGCCAAAGGACAGAATTACTGAAAAAGAAATACAGCAGGGGAGCTAACTGATATCTCAAGGGCTTGGATGAAAATCAGTTATCAGCCTCAGGAAGGTTTGTCCTGTGGTTTAAACATTGTCTAATAGAGAGAGACAGGTCTGGCAAATAGAGAGGTTTAAAATCACCATGGCCTAACCTAGAGCTCTCAAAACTCACTACTCTGAAACAGTTTAATGGGCTAGGAAACCTGGAACTTTTGTCTAGGTTTTCTTTGCATTTTCTGCTAAGAAAAGATCAGGAAAGAAAATGTCTTTGACTACTAAAACATCTGTTTTGGGAGTGGTTCTTGAAAGGAGACATGGAGAAAACACCTTTTTTTTTCATACATGAGACATCCATGTAATATTATGCATTACCTTGCTCATTAGCAGAAATAAATAAATAAAATTACATGCAATCTTGATGCCTATGACCTCTGTTAAAAAGTTGATCATGCCCTCTTGTGAGCTGGAAAGCAGGGAGGGAGGTTTGCACATTACTGCTGATATTCTGCACTGTAGGGAGGAAAAGTGTTTAAATAGAAAACTATAAGCAGATCTGATGCTGTTGCTCTGCGTTTTATTTGACATTATTTTAGGGGTTACCTGTATGAAAGAACACAGACTAATTAAAAATATACAACTACATTCAGGGGTAGGCACTAAATTTTATGACAAGCCCATAAAGACCCCAGCCCAATGCAAGAGCCTGCAGGTGCAAGGTAGGGACCTGCAGGTGAAAGAGAGGAGGGTTAAAGTGGTTCAAGAGTGTCTGACAGCAGCTGGGGCTCTGTGAGAGACTGTTAGATCTGTAAGGGAGTGTGCTGGCCATAATCTCTGTGCTGTGGGATAGGACAGTATATGGAAGGAATGTGTCTGCACTTACATCCATCCCTGTTAGAAGAGAGAGAGAAGTGGTAAGAACTATAGTGGTTGTGGGTTTGCTTGTGATGTTTTTTTTTTTTTTTTTTTTTTTTTTTAATGTTCAGTCATGTTCTGTTCAGTTACCTCATTGAAGAAACTTAGTGCAATGTGGCCTATTTGTCAGATTTTTATTTTCAAGTGTTCTCAAGTTGAGAATTACTATGAATTGTTTCCGACCTTTCCCACTTGTCACCTCTGTTGAAAAATCAAAGAGCTTCCAAGGAAGCCCCATGTACTGCTGATGCCTACAGCATCCGTAATGTGTGCCTCATCTACGCACTAGTAACTCCTTCTTTGATGTCTTTTTTTTTGTCTTAACTTTCTCTGCCCTTATCAGTTATCTTCCCTCTTCCTAACCTTATGTGACAAGCCAGGCTTCCTGGCAGTAAACCTGCCCCAGAAGATGCCTATAGTTCCCTGAAGCTACAATTAACACAGAGCTTCAAGAATTCTGCAGCCCAAAAGGAAAAACAGTTTTACTACCTGTCTTGCTTCTAATGGTCTTTCTCTGGGAGAATCACTGGATTATGAGGGAAAAAATGTTTGCAGTGAGTTCTATTCTCCTCCCAGACTAACTTCAAGGTTCTACACCTGTATGTTTTTGGACATAGGAACATTTTAGGGAGGAAAAAATAAAAGAAAATTTGTGCGAGTTCACTATGAATGAAGATTTCATGAACAGCAGTTTTGCTGTGTGGAGAGAACAGTGCGTTCAGAGTCAAGACTAAATATCTCTGCTCAAGGGCAAGTTATTCAAGGAGGAATTTACCTTGCAGCCCTGCCAGCTGCTGTGCCCAAGCATGGCAGTGCTATCACAGTAGCATGTGATGTGCGCTCACATCACTAAAAATATTGTGGTAGAACACACAGGCAGTGATGGGCAAGGACTGAGCCGATAGATGTCACTGTTGCATATGTTATGTGGTTTTATACTTCTGGCAAGCGCTGCTGGATGTAGCTATGCAAGGAAAAGACTGGCTACGTGTCCTGTGTGCTTTGTAATACACACGCCTGTCCATACGACAGGAAGTAAGTGAACTGGGGCTTCTGCTGTCTAGTGCTTCATTAATCAGACTGCTAAAAATGTTTATTTTGTCACTTAATGATAAAAGCAGACCTTCACCATAGACCTGTTTCAATATGCAGACCTGGCAATTAGCAATGCCATCTGTAACATGGTGGTAAATAGACATTCCAGAGATAGAAGTGAAGCAGAGAAAGCATGGAGCAGCACAAAGCAGTGCCCAGCTATTTCCACCCTGAGACAGCATCTCTTTGGGCACCATGCTGCTTCAGGCACACGTAATAGAGACAGGCTGTCAGAGCTCCTGGCAGCCCTTGAGGCTGACTCACACCTGGGAAAGTCACCAGAAGGCCTCGCTGCATCACTGGGCAGTGCATTTTGTCTTACCCGTGTCTCAGCTGAGATGTTGCCAGGAGACACCTTTTGGGGAGGTTTTCTCTCACCAGAAGTTTGCTTTCCCTTCCTTGCTGGCTCGTTCATCCTGGCCTTGTTTCATGCCACAGCCCTCTCATGCTCCTGCATCTCCGGCTGCATAACGGGGAAATCACAGAAAATGTTACTATAATTAACGTGCCACTTCAGGGTCTCATTCCTGGCTCATGAGTCATCCCCTCTGTTCCTTCCCCCTTATGGCAATTCACGTGCATCTGTGCCTTTGCCTCAAATGGCAATGTTTTCACTATGTGGCCCTTTGCTCAGTGATGCCAGGTAGAGCAGGCAGTTTTGATCCTACCGACTTAACCGGAAAATCTGAAGAGGCTTTTTGGCCTCCCGAGTTTCCTGCATCTCATTTGGCTGCCTGGTGCACATCTGTAACAGCTCACAAGCAAGCCTGTCAGCACATGGCTCATTAAGGAACTGTGGTTGCCAGCTTCTTTTGGCCTAACTCCTTCCTTTCCCGGCCCAGCACAAGTGCTGCTCTGTGCTCCAATACCTTTGTGAGAGCCTGAAGGAGACCAAAGCAGTCTTGTGAACATCACACTTTTCTGTGGGCATCAGCGCAATCTGATGTGCAATGGCCATCATGCTCCCTGAGTGTGGAAAATCCCCATGGATTGGGCTCTGACCTGAGGGACTTGCCTTGCCAACTACACAGAAAAGTCCAGTTGGTTGAGAAGGTTTTGGCCTCTCGCAAATCCTTTTGTAACTTCTCTCTTTCCTTGATCATATTGTATTTAAGTATATATTAAAAAAAAAAAAGAAAAAAAAAAAAGAAAAAGAATTTAAGTCAAGGGTATTTTTTACCATTATCTCTCTATTTTAAATTAAAAAATATATATTTCTAGTTAATCATCAGAATTTATTTCTTGACCCATATGCATATACTATTACAGTAATATCAAGACCCAAAGTACCTCAAACTTAAGCTTCCACAACATCTTTGTTGTCCCAGCAAAAAAATCTGGTGGTACAAAGTGAGCATCATCACCTTGCCCTGCTAATGCTGCTCTTCCTCAGGAATCTCAGACATTTCCTGGATTGGGGATCCAGGGAATTTCTCACAAAAACGTTACTCAAGGACTATTTTGGCTAAATCCATCTTTATTTATGGCACCTTAAAAATATTTTCAGCTGTCCATTGGAGCACTAAAAAATACAGATTTGTATGAGCTTGTACTTGCTCAAGAAACATGTAGATGTGGTGCTCAAGGACACGGTTTAGTGGGCAATCATTGGTGGGTGGGTGGAAGGTTGGACTAGATGATCTTAGAGGTCTTTTCCAACTTTTATGATTCTGTGATTCTACAAAACAAGTGTTTGTGCTGTGAATGCTCAGAGATGCCTAATGGGGATGGATGGCAGCTGTAGCTTCCTGCCATTGTCCTGCATTTCCTCTTCACACACCTGTCTCATCCCAGGCTTCATTTTCTGTAACTCTTTCCAGTCAGCAAGCTGGTGAATACATGCAGGTTGCCCATGTCCCATTTGAATGAAAAGAACTTTGCAAGGTGCAAGAGTTCTTCCCAGTCCTTCTTCCTACTCTACCTTATTCATCTGCTGCTCCTCAGTCCACTTTCCCAAAAGTTTCTCCTTGTTGCAAGAGTCACTTGCTGTGGTTGCACCTCCAGCTTAAAGCACAAGGACCAGCCGATTGGCTCTGGATGCACAGTGTGTTCAGTAAAAAGGTCAGTACAGGTTAGTTAGAACTATTTGCAGATAGACATGGAAAATAGTTCTGGCCATGGAAAACTGCTGATAAAACTGAAGCTATTCATCTCAGCATTTCTAAAACAAAAATAAAAATTTTTACTTGCAGAAATTATTTATGATGAAGAATTTTATAAGCAGAAACAATACTTTCTGCTTTTTTTTTTTTTTTCCTTCAATGAAACATTCAAAATTGTTGGTTTAGCCAAAACAATTTTTTAGCAGATAGATAGATTTTCATTCAGCATAATCTAGGGGAGAACATCTTTGCAGTGGTTTTGCAATTGTAATTTGTTAGGGCAGAACATGCCACGGCAGAATTAGCAGTCAGGTCATGCCTCTGTGCTTTAAAACTTGTACTTTGGTGAACAGATTTCTACATCCAACAATGGCTGAGAAAAGCAAATGCACTGCCTTTGATCTGAACATAATGAGGTTTCTTTAAAAAAAAAAATGACCTTTTGAAATGCCTCCTGCTAATCGCCCAGGGAGCTACAATACACAACAGAAATCCTCTTTCTTTGTTAGTTTCCTGTAGCATCATTACTCATCACTTCTGGAGTTTGCTTACTCTTTCTGTAGAACTCTTTGTTTGAGATACTTATTATCGTGTTCCAAAGTATTCAGGCAGGACTGAAGCGGAGCCATACCGGTCATTTTATAAACAACTCTGGGGAAATACCTCCTCCTCTGTTGACAGGTTTGCCATTTAATCTGAAGCAAGATAGGACAAGTGAATGTTATGAGCTGAAAGAGTGAAGGCCACTTGAAAGATGTATGGCTAATGTTCTTGCAGCACATCATTTACCCCTTGAGCGTCATGAATTATTTCCAGAAAGCACATGCATCTGACTGTGATTTAATTCAGCCTTTAATAGTTGCCAAGATTTTTGGTAGGTTAAAATAGTGCAGAGTCCTGAAGGAAGATTTGGAAATAGTTCTGCTTGCGTGTATTCATATAACTAGGAACTAAAAGAAGTTGGGGTTTGGTGTTTTTTTTTTTTTTTTTTTTTTTCTTCCTGAATTGTTCTCATTTGAGAATAGCTTCAAAAATAGCTGGCATGTTCTAGAAGCAATAGTCTAAATAATAAATATGGTAACAATTATAGCACAGCCCTTTCTGACTTTGACATATCATCAAACTGGGGCTACATGGAGCATCTGCCTAGGCACTAGAAATTTCCAGACGTCCGTTTTCCTTTAAGTAAATGAAATGTAGCGAGACTATATTCAAATCTTCAGTGTACCGCTGCTTGAAGGGAAGCATTATTCCAAATTATTCCTTACTAGTCTTAGTGAAAGACTGAGCTACCAGTGTATGTTAGGCTTCTTCTTCCAGGGCAGTGATTGCAGTTGAGACATTGAGTAATATGTGGGACAATCTGAGAGGAAATGAGCAGGTGAAGGAAATTCCAGTGGATTTTGTTGGGGAGGGGGGAAGTAGAAGTATAGATGTGAAAAAAATGTTATTTAGTAGAAATGCAATTTTAACAGTAATTTACAAATCAGTTATTCACAAAATTTACAAATAAAGTTATTTTAACAGTTATATTCACATATAACTAAATGTTGCATATACAACCCCATATATGCAACATTAAAAATCATTTATCGATGCCTTTTTTTTTTTTGTTTGCACCATTTTATTTATTTGTTTAAATCTGAAACTCTGTTTGAATGTGACTTGTGTTAATACAGGTTTACTATAAACACATGTGAATACTTATGTGAAAGTGCCAGTCCTGGTGGCATTATAATTGAGAGCCCTTAGAGGGAAGTCATAGCAAAAGCTGAACTTGAACAAAATGCATTTTAAATATC